AAAAAAAAAAAAAAAAAAAAAAAAAAAAAGTGACTTTGGAAATAATGTGGCATAAATATTCCAAGGGGTTTAGACTAGAGTATAAAAACATGGTTTTGGACAGGCATGGTGGCTCACGCCTGTAATCCCAGCACTTTGGGAGGCTGAGGTGGGCGGATCACTTGAGGTCAGGAGTTCAAGACCAGCCTGGCCAACATGGTGAAACCCTACTTCTACCAAAAATAAAAAATTATCTGGGGGTGTTGGTGGGCACCTGAGGCAGGTGGATCCCTTGAATCTGGGAGCAGAGGTTGCAGTGAGCCGAGATCGTGTCACTGCACTCCAGCCTGGGCAATAAGAGTGAGACTCTGTCTCAAAACAACAACAACAACAACAAACATGGTTTAAACAACTGGCATGGAGAGATACATCCTGCTCTTCCTCACAGTGGACCCATTGGTGTGGTTGGTTAGAAACATTTAAGGCCCTAAGATGAGGATTCCTACTAAGTGGCTCTATCTGTTCTTCAAGTGGGCACCTACGTACAGGATGGATCGGAACCACAGAGGCCTCTGTGTCATTGTCAACAACCACAGCTTTATCTCTCTGCGGGACAGACGAGGAACCCATAAAGATGCTGGTAAGAAAGTCTAGAATAGTTTATCAAGTGCAAATTGGGGATCTTAAAATTATTTTTTATTTTCACATTTTTTTCTGTGACTTATTTTCCATATATGTGTAAGGATGATTATTATGTTTCTGAGCCTCTTATATATCCCTGGGGCATCACCCAGTCTGCTAAAGAGTAGCAAGAGTCTTTGACTATTCACAATTCTGAATAGAGGAGAGCGTGTACTGGGGGAGAGCATGCTGGACTGGCACGAGACAACCTGGGTGTGAGCTCCAACTCCACCACTAACTAGGTGTGTGATCATGGGAGAGTCAAGAGACCTCAGCTTCTTCAGCTGTGAAACAGATGAAATGAAACACTGGCCACTGCCAATTCTCAGGACTGTTGTGACAACCCTGGGTATTACATGATAGGAGATTCATTGTAAGATTTTATGGTTATGAAAATAAAAATAATCCAAAGCTTTAGGCTATTTGCTGTGCAATTTTTGTAACTATTAGCATCATTTCATTTTTTTTTTTTTTTGAGACATAGTCTTGCTCTGTTGCCCAGGCTGGAGTGCAGTGGTGTAGTTGCAGCTCACTACAACCACTGCCTCCCAGGCTCAAGCCATTCTCATGCCTTAGCCTCCCGAGTAGCAGGGATTACAGGCGTGAGCCACCACACCTGGCTAATTTTTGTATTTTTAGTAGAGATGGTGTTTTGCTATGTTGGCCAGACTGGTCTCAAACTCCTGACCTCAAGTGATCCACCTGCCTCGGCCTTCCAAAGTGCTGAGATTATAGGTGTGAGCCACTGCACCCGGCCTTGTTTAAGTTATTCATTTTGTTTTGCATCATTTTATTATTTCCCCTTTCTCTCTCCTTTTTTTTTTTCTTTTTTAAACAGAGATCCTGAGGGGTGTGTTCCAGTGGCTTGGGTTCACAGTGCATATATACAATGATGTGACGAAAGGGGAAATGGAGGCGGTCCTGCAGAAGGAGAAGTGCAATCCAGCCCATGCCGACGGGGACTGCTTCGTGTTCTGTATTCTGACCCATGGTGAAGATGGAGCTGTCTACTCTTCGGATGAGGCCCTCATTCCCATTCGGGAAATCATGTCTCACTTCACAGCCCTGCAGTGCCCTGGACTGGCTGAAAAACCTAAACTCTTTTTCATCCAGGCCTGCCAAGGTGAAAAGATACAGCTTTCCAAATCCATCGAAGCAGATGCTCTGAACCCTGAGCAGGCACCCACTTCCCTGCAGGACAGTATTCCCGTCGAGGCTGACTTCCTACTTGGTCTGGCCACTGTCCCAGGCTATGTATCCTTTCGGCATGTGGAGGAAGGCAGCTGGTATATTCAGTCTCTGTGTAATCATCTGAAGGTCTTGGTCCCAAGGTGAGAGTTCTTTTTTTCTTCTATTTTTAATTAATTAGTTTTATTTATTTTTTATTTTACTCTCATTCAACACCTTTGGTAAGGGTGAGAGTTCTAAATTGTTCTGTCCATGTACCTGTTCATCCATCTGCCTACCTTTCTGTTTATCTATTTATCCATCTATCCATCCATCCATCCATCCATCCATCCATCCATCCATCCATCCATCTAGCAACCTTGTATTGAGTACCAGCCTGGAACTGGAAAGGAAGATAAAGTTAAAAAAAAGACAGGGTCATTGCCCTCAGGTTGCTTACAAGCTAGAGGGATAGACAAACAGACGGGGAAGGGCATCCCCAGCTAGTAAGTGCACATTGTGAAGTATAGGTGTTACGGGAACGTGCAGAATGACTACCTTGCCCAGATTTGAAGGATCAGAGGAGGCTTCTAGAAATGACAAGTAGATGTTAGGTAAAGAATCAGGTGAAAGATATGCTGGGCAGAGGGAGTAGTGTGAACAAAAGCATGGGGGCCTTTTATTTGTTCCTTTGTTTGTTTATCACTCGCTCCTATTTCCTGAGCACTTATGTGCTATCTTTGGCATTCTATTTGCCACTGCTCTGACAGATTGCCTTCTGTCTTTGCCACATGCTCTCCTCTTGGCAGCTTTAGCTATATCTAGAGGCCATGGGCACCTCCATGAAAACGTCTCCAAAGTTGCCATCTCTGGCCCACTCATCTCTGAATTCCTGGGGGGCAGAGACCCTGTTTCATTTAACTTTATATCCTCAGCCCCTGACCTGATATATTGTGAGCTTGTTAAACATTTGCTGGGCCAATGAATGACTTGCTTGAGCCCATCTCATTAACAGCCCGCTAGATATCCTACCTCTGTTTAGCCCTTGGACCTCACATTCAGCATACATGTTTCTGAGCTCAACTTCCCAGCCTTCTCCAGGAGCTCCTGAATTTCCATTTGAAGGAATGGCCGTAGTGCTGTTCTGGGAATTCAGGATTGGAGTCTTGAGTCAACTTTGCTTTTCTCTCTTCTTTACCAGCCCCTCCATCCTCATCACAGACATCAGAGGCTAATGTCTATGGCTTCAGTAACAAGGCAATATTTATTGAGGTCATACTATGTGCTTACTGTACTGGGTACCGAACTGGGGGCTGGAGGTGCAGCTGTGTACAAGAGAGACAAAATCTGCTCTCCAGGGAGCTAAAAGTCCGGTAAAGGAAGGACAGATAATAAAAATATGTGAATATTTAAATTATTATTATTTTAAAAATTCAACAATATTAAAAGGAGACAGTATACATGCATGATTAAGCAATGTCTGGTTTTTTTTTTGGTACTCCAGAAATTTCTTTGTTATTTTTAATTAATACTTCATAACTACATATTTCAGGGTTATAATTTGATATTTCAATACATATATGTGTTGTATAATGATCAAATCAGGGTAGTGTATCCATCACCTCATGCATTTATCATTTCTTTGTGGTGAGAACCTCTAAAAGCCTCTCTTCTAGCTATTTTGTAATATACAACACCTTACTGATTGATCAATTGATTTAAATATGGGATCTCACCATGTTGCCCAGGCTGGTCTTGAACTTCTGAGCTCAAGCAATCCTCCTGCCTTAGCCTTATAAGTAGCTAGGATTGTAGGCTTAAGCCACAGTGCCCAACTCAGAATGCCTTACTGTTAACCATAGTCACCCCAATGTGCAATAGAACACCAGAGATTATTCCTCCTATCTAATTTTAACTTTGTACCCACTGACTAACCTCTCCTCATCTTCCCTTCCCTCCTTCCCTCTCATCTCCATAATTGCTGTTTTACTCACTGCTTCTACGATATCAACTTTTTAAACAAAGATTCCACATGAGTGAGAACATGCAGATTTTTTTGTGAGTCTTGCTTATTTCATTTAACATGATGTTCTCTGGGCTCATTCATGTTGTTAGACATGTCAGAATTTTCTTCTTTTTTATGGCTGAATGGTATTCTGTCGCTTATAAATATCACATTTTCTTTATCCATATATCCATTTTTGGACACTTAGGTTGATTCCATATCTTGGCTATTGTAAATAATGCTGCAGTAAATAGGGAGTGCAGATATCTCTTTGACACATTGATTGCATTTTCTTTGTCTGTATACTTAGTATGGGGATTGCTGGATCATATAGTATTTTTTATTTGTAATTTTATGGGGAACTGGCATACTATTTTCCATAATGACTGTACTAACTTACAATACCACCAACAGTGCATAAGTGTTCCCTTTTCTCCAGATCCTTGCCAACATGTGTTTTCTTTTGTTTCTTTGATAATAGCCATTCTAACTTGAGTGAAGTGGCATCTCACTGTGGGTTTTTTGTTTTGTTTGTTTTTTAGACAACATCTCGCTCTGTCAGGCTGGAGTGCAGTGGTGCAATCTCAGCTCACTGCAGCCTCTGCCTCCCAGGTTCAAGCAGTTCTTCTGCCTCAGTCTCCCGGGTAGCTGGGATTACAGGCATGTGCCACCACACCTGGCTAATTTTTGTATTTTTAGTAGAGACAGGGTTTTACCACGTTGGCCAGGCCGATCTGGAACTCCTGATCTCAAGTAATCTACCCACCTCAGCCTCCCAAAGTGCTGGTATTACAGGCCTGAGCCAACGCACCCAGCTGTCATTGTGGTTTTGATTTGCATTTCCGTGATGATTAGTGATGTTGAGGGGTGGAAGCGGATAAGTAGGAAAACTCCCACCACAACTATAGTGCTAGAGTCAGGCAGGACTGAGACTGGGGTTGAGCCTTCCACAGCGGAAGGAAGTCAGGGGTGGAGGCCAAGTTGGGCTGATTTTCCTGCTGCTGCTAAGAGAAAAATCAATTAATGGAAGAAGGTTGGGGGTAGGGTTAAGGATAAGTATTTGTTGAGGCTCTCATGTATTGGAGGATGAGAGGAATCATGCTATAGCTAAAATTAAAGCCAATGTCACCAATGCGATTGTATAGAATTGCTTGGACACTGCTGTGTTAGCATCTGCTTGGCCATGTCATCAGTCAATTAGTAGAAAAGATATAATTCCTACGCCCTCTCATCTGATAAAAAGTTGGAAAAGGTTGTTGGCGGTAGCTAGAATTAATATTGTGGTGAGGAAATAAGTAGGTATTTGAAAAACTGATAAATGTTCGGATCTGACTTTATATATCATATTGAGAATTCTATAATAGATCAAGTGATTAATAGTGCTACTAGAATAAACATTATGGAGAAGTAGTCTAGTTTGAAACTTAATGAGACTTTTAGGGTTTGGATTGTTGTTCAATATCATTTTGAGATGATGGCTTCTAGGTCTGTACACACGAATGTTGTGGGAATGAGGCTAATGGTGAAAGTGCATGTGATAGCTGTTTTTACTTAGTATAGATATGAGTTCTTTTTGCGAGGGTTGATAAAGGTAATAATAATTGGTAAGGTTAAGGAGATTAGGTTATTATGGTAATGGAAAAATACATGATTATTACTTTTATTTGGAGTTGCACCAATATTTTTGGTTCCTAAGATCAATGGATAACTCTCATCCTCTGAACGTTGAGAAAGCCATGTTGTTAGGCATGGGGGCATGAGTTAGCAGTTCTTGCATACTTCCTCGGTAAATAAGAAGTTGCGGACTTCTGTTATTAGACCCAAAATCTAACCCAAAATCAAACTATATTTACAAGGTGTAAGTCCTATAATAATTTTAGGATTTAGAGATAGTAGGAGAATTGGTGAAAGGTGTGTAAATATTAGTATGTTTTCTAGTGTAAAGGAAGGTTTAATGCTGTTAATATAGTATGTTAGTGTTCCTCGTGTTGTGACAAGTATATAGAGGGAATAAAGGGCTGTGATTAATATACTAAGTCCTATGAGCATGACAGTAATGTTTGATCAGGAGAATGAAGCCATTGTTACAAGGAGTTCTCCTTCTAGATTAATAGTGGCAGGTAGGGCAAGGTTGGTGAGATTTGCTGTGAGTCATCAGAAGGTTATTAGTGGAAGTAATGTTTGACGTCTTCGAGAGAGTAATATGATTCAGCAGTGGATTCGCTTGTAGTTTGAATTTGCTAGGCAGAATAGTAGAGACAAAGTAAGTCCATGGGTAATTATGAGGATAATTGCACCGGTAACACTTCAGGGGGTTTGAATGAGGATAGCTACAACAACAAGTGCCATGTGGCTTACGGAGGAATATGCAATAAATGACTGACTTTAGATCAGTTTGTTGTAGACAGATAGAGCTTGTCACAGTTATGCCTCATAAGGATAATATCAGGAAAGAATAGGCTATATGTTCTGTCAGAGGGCTAAGGATGAGGGTAAGTCGCATTATGCCATAGCCGCCCAATTTTAGGAGCGCTGCTGCAAGTACTGTTGAGCCGGCAATACGGGCTTATACATGGGCTTTGGGAAGTCATAGGTGAAGTTGGTATAGGGGTGTTTTTACTATGAAGTCCATTCATGCCAATCATATGAGATTGTTGGATCTAGAGATTGGTAGTTCTTGAGTATTAAATGTTATTATTATCATGCTCCGTGAGCCTGGGATATTTTGGGCATAAGTAAGTATCATAAGTAGGGGGAGGGATCCCACTAGTGTGTAAAATAAGAAATATGTACCTGCATTGAGGTGTTCTGGTTGGTTACCCCATCGGGTGGTAATAATTAAGGTAGGGATAAGTGTAGCTTCAAAGAGAATATAAAATACAATTAGTTCTGTGGCTGTAAATGCTATGATTAGAAAAATTTGTAGGGAACTCAATATGGAAATATAGTTTTTTCCATAGGGGTGATTCACTGGAGAGGTGGTACTGGCTTGCTATAGTTATAAGAGGTAGTAGTCAGGCTGTTAACATTAGAAGGGGTGATATTAGCGGATCAGAGGAGAAAGTTAATGAGAAGTTGAATAGATTATCGTTGAATTGGTTAAAGAACAATAGGGCAATGAAGCTGATGATTAGGCTGTGGGTAGCCATATTGATTCAGATTATATAATTTTTAGAGAGTCATGTTATTGGTAGTAGTATAATTCTAGGAATAATTATTTTTAGCATTGAAGTAAATTTAGGTTATGTACATAGCCTAAACCATATGTGTTGGAAATTGAAACTAGTGAAGCAAGGCCTACCGTGGCTTCACAGGCAGCAAATACTGGTAGAGTAATGGGTATGATATTTGCTAGGATGAAGTGTATATTTAAAACTATAAGGGTATTTATGATGAATAATGATAATATTATTCCTTCTAGGCATAGGAGGGATGATATTAGGTGGGATTGATAGATTAATACCCCCAGAAGTGATATGATAAATGCTCGTATGATATTTATGTAAATAGAGGGCATTTGGTAAGTATGTTCTATCATAATCTAATGAGTCAAAATCATTTATTTTGGCTTAAACTATTTACTTTTTTCTTATACCTGTGGACCATTTGCATGTCTTCTTTTGAGAAACGTCTGTTAAAGTCTTTTGCCCATTTTTAAATGGGGTTATTTGTATTTTTTTGCTGTTGAGTTGTTTAAGTTCCTTATGTATTCTAGATATTAACCCCTTGTGAGATGTATAGTTTGCAAATATTTTTTCCCATTTTGTAGATTGTCTCTTCATTCTGTTTTTTTTTTTTTCTGTGCAAAAGGGTTTTAATTTGATGTAATCTAATTTGTCTGATTTTGCTTTTTTGTCTGTGCTTTTGAGGTCTTATTTTAAAAATCCTTGCCCAACCCAATGTCGTGATATGTTTGCCCCATGTTTTCTTGCAGTAGCTTCATAGTTTCAGGTTTTACATTTAAGTCTCATACATTTTGAGTTGGTTTTTGTATGTGGTGAGAGATACGTGGTCAGTCTTACTTTTTCTGCATGTGGATATCCCATTTTCCCAGCATTGGTTTTTGAAGATATTTTCTTTTACCTATTGTATGTTCTGGGCGCCTTTGTCTTAAATCAGTTGGCTCTAGGTGTGTGGATTTATTTTTGGGCTCTATATTCTGTTCCATTGATCTATGTGTCTGTTTTTGTGCCAGTACTATGCTGTTTTGGTAACTCTAGATTTGTAGTATATTTTGAAGTCAGGTGGTGTGATGCCTCTAGCTTTGTTCTTTTTGCTCAGCATTGTTTTCACTATCTGGGGTCTTTTGTGGTTCCATATACATTTTAGGATTTTTTTCCTGTTTATGTGAAGAATGTAATTTTTTTTGTTTGTTTTTGTTTTGTCTTGTTGTAGAGATAGGGTCTTGCTATGTTGTCCAGGCTAGACTTGAACTCCTGGGCTCAAGCAATCCTCCCACCTCAGACTCCTGAGTAGCTAGGACTACAGGCATTTGCCACTGCACTTGGCTTGTCACTGGTATTTTGATAGAGACTGCATTAAATCTGTAGGTCACCTTGGGTAGTATGGTCATTTTAACAAGATTAATTCTTCCAACCCATGAACATGAGATATCTTTACATTTATTTGTGTTCTCTTCACTTTTTTTCATCAATGTTTTATAGTTTTCAGTGTTTAATATTTAAATTAGTAATATTTTAATTGTTTAATATTTATTTAGTAGTTTTATTTATTCAATTATTATTTAATATTAATATAAATAATATTTAAATTAATAAGAAAAAAATTAGCGAGGTGTGGTGGCATGCACCTGTAGTCCTAGCTATTAGGGAGTCTGAAGTAAGAGGATTGCTTAAGCCCAGAAGTTTGAGGCTGTAGTGAGCTACAATTGTATTACTGCAGTCTAGCCTGGGCAACAGAGCAAGATCCTGTCTCTAACAAAAAGAGACAATTTCAGGAAGTGATCCCTGCCATGAACAAATCAAAACAGGATAATGATAGCTTCTTGGTGCAGGTAGTATTTCAGGTGAGACTAAGTGGTAAGAAGAAAACAGACACAGGAAGATTTGGGAATAGAGAGCAGGTGCAAAGCAAGATGCAGGGATTGAGAGCAGGTAGGGGCCTGTATCCCTTCCCTGAAAAATAGTGAGGGTAAGGATGAGGGGATGAGGGTAGTCATACTAATACTAAAAATGATGATCAGCAGAACAGTGTAGCCAGTGTTCTAAGTGCTTGACCCAATATACATCCTTTGATGCTCTCAGCAACCCCTAAGATGGGGACTGTTATGGTTCCTCTTTTAGAGCTGGGAAAACCGAGGTATGCAGCAGTGAGTAACCAGCCTAAGAGCACACAATGAATGAGTGATGGAGCCACAATTTAAAACTGAATCTGTTTTCAGAACCTGTGCTTGCTTCCAGTGATATGTATTGCCAGCCCTGAGAACGTTCTGCTAAATGCTATATGTCCTGCAAGTGCAGGCTCAAATGCTACCACCTGCATGAAGCCTTTTCTCTCCCTCCCAACTAGAAGTGCATTCTCCTCTGAACTTGCAGCGGAACCTTGACCTTTCATTTGGTGTCGACCACATTCTGCCTTGTGTTACGAATATTGTGTATATGCCATCCTTGGTAAATGTTTTATATCTGCATTCTAAGTGTTTAACTTCAGGAATTGTGTCGTGTTTATCTTTGTATCTCTCCCAAGGCTACGGATAGAGAGGGCATTGTTGGTATCTGTGGCATCTGCTGCATATTTGTTGATCTAAGACCTGGTACATGGTACCTGGTGTCTTTTCTAAGACCTGGTGTGTGGTTTCTACCTCCTGATTGAAAAAAGTTTCTTCTCTGGGCCAGGCACAGTGGCTCATGCCTGTAATCCCAGCACTTTGGGAGGCTGAGGTGGGCGGATCACCTGAGGTCAGGGGTTTGAGACCAGCCAGGGCAAGCAATATGGTGAAACCCTGTCTTTACTAATTAGCCGAGTGTGGTGGCAGGCACCTGTAATCCCAGCTACTTGGGAGGCTGAGGCATGAGAATCACTTGAATTCAAGTGGAGGCTGCAGTGAGCTGAGATTGTTCCACTGCACTCCAGCCTGGGTGACAGAGTGAGATTCTGTTAAAAAAAAAATTGTTTTCTTCTTTGTTGCAGACAGGAAGACATCTTATCCATCCTCACTGCTGTCAACGATGATGTGAGTCGACGAGTGGACAAACAGGGAACAAAGAAACAGATGCCCCAGCCTGCTTTCACACTAAGGAAAAAGCTAGTATTCCCTGTGCCCCCGGATGCACTTGCATTATAGCAGAGAGTTTTTGTTGGTTCTTAGACTTCAAACGAATCATTGTCTGTATCCTTCAGCCTCCTGCCCAGCACAGGAATCGGTGGTCTCCACCTGGCATTCTAGAAACAGGAAACACCCTGTTTTCTGACACAGTCAATTCCGATTTTCTTTTTCTTTTGACAAGTCTAAATGTTAGAAAACACTCTTTTTTTTGGAGACAGTCTCATTCTGTCACCCAGACTGGAGTGCAGGGGGGCAATCTCGGCTCTCTGTAGTCTCGACCTCCCGGGCTCAAGCTATCCTCACACCTCAGCTTCCCAAGTAGCTGGGACCACAGGTGTGTACCACCATGCCTGGATATTTTTTATTCTTTATTTTTTGTAGAGACGGAGGGATCTCACTTTGTTGCACAGGCTGGTCTCAAACTCCTGGACTCAAGTGATCCTCCCACCTCTGTCCGCAAAATACTGGGATTATAGGCACAAGCCACCACGCCTGGCCAGAAAACTTTCCTTATTGAAGACTTGGATTGTAGCCTTGGTTTTGGATGTGTACCCTGAAGAGAGAGTAATTGACCTTGGTTTGTGCAGGTACTTTTTTTTTTTTGAGACAGAGTCGTTCCGTCACCTGGGCTGGAGTGCAGTGGTGGGATCACTGTTCACTGCAGCCTTGACCTCCCAGGTTCAAGCGATCCTCCCACCTCAGCCTCCCAAGTAGCTGAGACTACAGGTGTGTGTCCATGCACAGCTAACTTTTGTATTTTAATGTAGAGATGGGGTTTCACTATGTTGTCCAAGCTGATCTCAAACTCCTGGGCTCAAGTGATCCTCCCACCTTAGCTTCTCAAAGTTCTGGGACTATAGGTGTGAAATACTGTGTCTGACCTGGGGACCAGGGACATTTTAAGATTCCCTGGTGTTCAAAGAACCACGTTCTTAGGCTAGACTGGGCTTAGATTGCCTCTCTAGACAACTACCCCTTAGTTATAATTCTGTGTCCCCTCTGCATGGCCTTGAACATTGGACAATGAGGTTACAGTCCAGCCACCCTCTCTCTACTCTCCCCCTTCCTAAGATTTCTCTTCTGCATATCTAGTGAGGTGAACATTTGGTCTATGCCAGGCCCATTTCCTGCTTTTGTGTAAGGAAGGTGCTCACATAGGAAGTTTTTATTTGGTTAGAGACAGGTTTCCCTGTAGGAAGATGATGGCTCATTTACACTCAGCTGCTCTGCAAGCAGAAACTTTATAACCTGATGTCATGTTCCATGTTGGACTGGGTGCAGTGGCTCATGCCTGTAACTCCAGTACTTTGGGAGGCTGAGGCAGGCAGATCACTTGAGGTCAGGAGTTCAATACCAGCCTGGCCAATACGGTGAAACCTCTTCACTACTAAAAACACAAAAATTAGCCAGGCATGGTGGCAGGCACTTGTAATCCCAGCTACTTGGGAGGCTGAGGCAAGAGAATCTCTTGAATCTGGGAGGCAGAGGCTGTGGTGAGCCAAGATCACACAACTGCGCTCCAGCTTGAGCAACAGGGCGAGACCTTGTTTAAAAAAAAAAAAAAGGCCGGGCGCGGTGGCTCAAACCTGTAATCCCAGCACTTTGGGAGGCCGAGACGGGTGGATCACGAGGTCAGGAGATCGAGACCATCCTGGCTAACACGGTGAAACCCTGTCTCTACTAAAAAATACAAAAAAACTAGCCGGGCGAGGTGGCAGACGCCTGTAGTCCCAGCTACTCGGGAGGTTGAGGCAGGAGAATGGTGTGAACCCGGGAGGCGGAGCTTGCAGTGAGCTGAGATCCGGCCACTGCACTCCAGCCTGGGCAACAGAGCGAGACTCTATCTCCAAAAAAAAAAAAAAAAATCAATGTTGGGGTTTCAGGTGCCATTGACAGAACACCCAATTCAAATTGACTGAAGCAAAGAAGGGAATTTATTGCCTCTTTCACATGGAAACCCGGGAGTGGATAACACTGGCTTCAGGCAAAGCTTGAATCAGGACTCAATCTACAGGCCAGCACCTTTCTGTTGGCCGGATGTCCTCAGGGTTGGCAACTGCAGTGTAGATACTGCAGTGTAGATACTGCAGTGTAGATACCTTGTCACTACTACTACACTTTGCTCCTCTGGCCTGAGGGATGAGGAGAGAGGCTGTGTCAGAGACTGAAGCTGTTCTCAGGATCACTGGGCTCTTCTTGGCAGAGGGGATGTCTGGCTTGCCTGAAGGGAGTGGCTCTGTAAGGACGCCTTGATGCTTTCTTCATTAAGATTTTGAATATTTTTATGTACTTGAGTTTTTTTTTTTTTTTTCAATTTCTAGAGGAACTTTTCTTTGTTAATTCCTGGAACTGTATTTTGAACCCTTGAAGGCGAGCCCTCATAGGGAGATCCAAAGTCCTGTGGTTAACGCCTTTGTTTATAGACGAGGCAGCTAAGTCCTGGGGATGTGAACAACCTGCTAGCAGACCTCATTTACTGGATTTTTCTTCAGCCAGGTGAACTGGAATGGCTTGGGGCGTGGAAGGGCATTAGTAGTGTTTCATTTGATATGTGAACGCTCATAAAAAAATGTCAAGGAATGAAGAAAAACAATTCTCAGTGGTGCCTGCATTTATAATTATTTATGTGAAAGTCAAATTCATGTACAGTACATTTATTATAAGAATATTCACAAGAACACTGTTCTGATGTCTCTGATTGTCATGTGGATTTGAATGTAGCTTGACAGAGGGAATGTCTAATCCATATTGACAGGGCAGGAGCACCGTCATCTCATCTCAGACAAACACCACCACTTTAAGTTCCAGTTCCCTTTCTAGCCTCATGCATTTCAAGGAAATCACTTCCCTTCTAACAGCAAGCAGCCAGAAAGAGAAGAGAGTAAAATACAGATAAAACAGCTCTGGCACAGAGGGAGGTTAGGGGGTGGGGGAAGTCTCTTGGATAACTGCCAAACTTTGCCCTCATACAATAGGTTCCAGTAAAACAATGGGCCTTAATAAGCACATTCCTTTTCCTTCAGGTACACTAAGATAGGGAAGCTAAAAGCAGACTGGAGGGGGGCAGGGTATACCTACAGCTGCACAAAGATTGTATGGGAACGGACACACTCTTCCTCCCAGATAAGCACAACAAAGAGATACAAAAACAATCCAAGCCTCTGATAAACTCTCCCACCCTAAATCCGTAAAAACTCTTAGTCTGTAAGCGAGTGGGCTCTGACAGAAGCCCCTTTCAAATTTGCTTTCTCTAAAATAAACCTGTCCTTGACTGTCAAGCCACCTTTCATGTTTCTTTCCTCTTTCTTTAATTCGTACACATGTGTCAGGATGATCTCCCAAAACCGTGTTCATAACAGTCAGGGCTAAAAGCTAGTGGTCACAGTCTTTGTCCATTTGGCAGAACTGACATGTGAAGGCAAGCGAAGGATGGTGAGGTACTGAGGAAAGAGCAAAGGATCTGGAGATCAAAGCCCTGCATTTCCATATTGTCCTGTGATTCCTTTGCTCAGAGACACTAACTAAATCAAGCTAGCTTTTTTCAGCCTTGTCTGTAAAGTAGAGAAAAACATTAGCTGTTGGGAAGACGAAAAAGAATGTGTATGTGTGCATCTATTTAATTTAACTGTGCTGAGGTGCATATAAAAGCATTTAGGTGGTAGGGTCTTCTAGTTGTAACTGCAACAGAAATAGCAGGACTTAAGTTCCTTTGTGCGTAATTCCAGCTGACTTTATTAGCAGCAACTCAGCACTAGCAGTACCCCTGACATACTCTGAGTAAGACCTAATTCTTCCCTCACTGGCTCGTGATGTCCACAGCAGAAGGTGGCCAGTTCTTGGCTCTGAGTTCAGTTGAACAAAACGCTGTTGATAAAACTTACTGTCAGGCCCCTGAGCCCAAGTTAAGCCATCGTATCCCTTGTGACCTGCATGTATACATCCAGGTGGCCTGAAGTAACTGAAGAATCACAAAAGAAGTGAAAATGGCCTGTTCCTGCCTTAACTGATGACATTACCCTGTGAAATTCCTTCTCCTGGTTCTTCCTGGCTCAAAAACTCGCCCGTTGAGCACCTTCTGACCCCCACCCCTGCCAGCCAGAGAACAACCCCCTTTGACTGTAATCTTCCACTACCTACCCAAATCCTATAAAATGGCCCCACCCCTATCTCCCTTTGCTGACTCTCTTTTCAGACTCAGCCCGCCTGCACCCAGGTGATTAAAAAGCTTTATTGCTCACACAAAGCCTATTTGGTGGTCTCTTCACACGGACGTGAGTGAAACCTCCTTCATCAGGAACATTTGGGGTTTGATGTTTAAGTTTTGAGCCTCTGGTGTATTTCCTATTTCTGTTTTGCTAGAACTTAGTGCTTGTGTAAGGTTAAATTCTAGAATCAGGAAACGTTGTTTTTAGAGGCCTCCAGCAAGCACTTCGGAGGTCCCTGGGCGTTTACAGCTGTGAGTCGTCGATCTATCCAGACACCAGAACATAGTCATCCTTGGCTCATTCCTCCTCAGTGGGAGGTGTGCACAGTTGGTAGAGTGTTACTTCCAAGATTTTGTGAAACATTATGCTTGTCTGTATTTGTGTGTGCATGTCTGTGTGAATTTTGAGTTCAGGAATAACAGGTGATTTGATCACAGCTATTTGACAGTGGTGATAGTCATTGTATGCCAAGACGTTTATGAAGGGAATAGGTAGATTGAGTGAGGTTCCTATATATTTTGCCTAGTTGTACTCACCTATAAGAGCTGTAATTAAATGTTTCTCTCTTTCCCCTTCTTCCTCTCTTTTATTCATTTTTATTTATTTTTTTATTTTTTTATGAAGTCTCGCTCTCTCACCCAGGCTAGAGTGTGGTGGCACGATCTTGGCTCACTGCAACCTTCGTCTCCTGGGTTCAAGCGATTCTCCTGCCTCAGCCTCCTGAGTAGCTGGGATTACAGGTGTGCACCATCACACCTGACTAATTTTCATATTTCTAGTAGAAACAGAGTTTTGTCATGTTGGCCAGGCTGGTCTCGAACTCCTGACCTCAAGTGATCTGCCCGCTTTGGCCTCCCAACGGAATGAGCCATCATGTCTGGCCTCATTCATTCTTTCTTTCATAGAAGTTTGGATACTGCCAAACAAAATTAAAGACATGAAAAACCAATTGTTATTACAAATGTTACAATTATTTAACCACTGGTGTTTATTTTTATTAGAGCCATAGCACCTACTGGCCTCTGCTTCAGGGATTCACAATGGTGGTGGGCAGGTTGGATATCACAGGGCTTACCCCTAGCAATGCATTCTATTCCGCCTATGCCCAGGTGGTGTTAAACATATAAGCATCCAGTACACTGCGGTACCGACCCATCAGAACAGACGCTGACTGGTACAACACAATGGTGAATGTTGCTGAATAGCAACCCTTAATCAATAATGATCAAATCTCCATGGAGGTAAACTAAACTAGAAGTTTACCTCAAACAGGTAATTTTTGTGCCATACATGATTCACAGAACCTTCCAGATCTGATGCTTTCTGAGTGACCTGGTCAACTTGTTCTCAACCTGGAATTCTTGGACCCTTAGATGTTTGTAAATTTGTTCTCAGACCCTCTGAGCTCTCCACCTTCATTTTTAAGTGCTTTAATTCTTTTTTGGTGATAATCTTTAAAACTTCACAGATGTGTGTCCTGGCTTTTCCGGGCGACTGCTTCATATTTGAGTACTGCCACACAATGACTGTTCATGTTCTGGGGCCTGCCTACAGAAAGGGACGAACTTTACCTTGGACTTTTTAATGTAGTGTGGATGTGCGTCTGTAGCTAGAGGTCTTCAGGTGCCAGTGGTTAATCTGTTTGAAGCTTGCTTTATTCCAACCTCTCATTCCGTAACAGACTCCTCCTCCACCATCCCTCACCTCTGCTGAACCCTTCTAGCAGAGGGAACTCACTACAAGTGGGGACATGGATTTGGGAGCTTGAAAGGACCCCAGTGACCCTGCAGTCCAGCCCTTAGAGTGCTAAGTGACTTACTGAAGCCTCGAAGCCATTCCTGGAGGATTTGCAATTCTTTTTTTTTAATTTTAATTTAATTTAATTTTTTATACTTTAAGTTCTAGGGTACATGTGCATAACGTGCAGGTTTGTTACATATGTATACTTGTGCCATGTTGGTGTGCTGCACCCATCAACTCGTCAGCACCCATCAACTTGTCATTTACATCAGGTATAACTCCCAGTGCAGTCCCTCCCCCCTCCCCCCTCCCCATGATAGGCCCCGGTGTATGATGTTCCCCTTCCCGAGTCCAAGTGATCTCATTGTTCAGTTCCCACCTATGAGTGAGAACATGCAGTATTTGGTTTTCTGTTCTTGTGATAGTTTGCTGAGAATGATGGTTTCCAGCTGCATCCATGTCCCTACAAAGGACACAAACTCATCCGTTTTTATGGCTGCATAGTATTCCATGGTGTATATGTGCCACATTTTCTTAATCCAGTCTGTCACTGATGGACATTTGGGTTGATTCCAAGTCTTTACTATTGTGAATAGTGCCGCAATAAACACATGTGTGCATGTGTCTTTATAGCAGCATGATTAAGAACTCAAACAAATTTACAAGAAAAAAAACAAACAACCCCATCAAAAAGTGGGCAAAGGATATGAACAGACATTTCTCAAAAGAAGACATTCATACAGCCAACAGACACATGAAAAAATGCTCATCATCACTGGCCATCAGAGAAATGCAAATCAAAACCACAATGGGATACCATCTGACACCAGTTAGAATGGCGATCATTAAAAAGTCAGGAAACAACAGGTGCTGGAGAGGATGTGGAGAAATAGGAACACTTTTACACTGTTGGTGGGATTGTAAACTAGTTCAACCATTATGGAAAACAGTATGGAGATTCCTCAAGGATCTAGAACTAGAAGTACCATATGACCCAGCCATCCCATTACTGGGTATATACCCAAAGGATTTGCAATTCTTCGTATCTCTGGATTTGCCGCCCTGTCCCTCCAAGTCACTTGGTTTCACTTTGGACAGCTTTAATTATTCTCTTCTCTGTTCTCTGTTTCTGCCTCCTTAGAAGCTATTTAAAACCACTCGTTTTCATTCTAAACTCCGGAGCCACACCAAACAAGTGTAACTGTCCCCTGGTGAGATTTGCATTGTATGTGACAAATCATTTAACTTTTTTCTGGTAGGGTTTCAGTTTTGTCGGAAGTCTGCAGTTTGCTCTTAAGGATGTGATAAGAATGTAGCAACACATTTGTATCTTTGAATTTTGAATAGGAACCAAATTTTAAAATTTAGTTTAGTTTAGTTTAGTTTTGTTTGAGACAGAGTCTCACTGTGTCACCCAGGCTGAAGTGCAGTGATACCATGTTGGCTAACTGCAACCTCTGCCTCCTGTGCTCAGGTGATCCTCCCCCCTGAACCTCCTGAGTAACAGCTGGGGCTACAGGCAGGTGTTTTTTAAAAATGGAATTCTTAATACATTAAAAAAATGAAATCCCTTTAAAAAAGCACTAGAGGAAATTCTGTGTTTAAAGATTTACTTATTTGGCAATGCAAACAGCTGTTTATTTCCTAACATAACTTTTGCAAATCTGAATTTTTATAAAAATATTTTTAAATTAAAAATTTTAAATTATACTAAGTTTTACTTTTTAAGTAATTTTGAGTAGGTAATATTTTTTTTTTTTTTTTTTTTTTTTAGGGGGCTCTCTCTTTTTTCCAAGCTGGGGTGGTGTGGGGCGGTATCTGCGCACTGCAAGCAACGCCGCCCCCCGGGTTCACGCCGTTCTCCTTAATTGCGTGCTTTGTTTTTAGTGAGTCTCGTATCTGTCGGCTGGAGTGCAGTGGCGCAATCTCGGCTCACTGCAGCTCCGCCTCCCGGGTTCACGCCATTCTCCTACCTCCCAGCCTCCCAGCCAGCACCACACCCCTGGGACTGCAGGCGCCCGCCTGCCTCTTGCCCGACTTCAATTTTTGTGTACAGTAGCGGGGTTTCACCTGTCAATCCCAACCTGTAATCCTGCCTCAGCCTCAAAATCTAGAGATTACAATTGAAGTAATGCTCTCTTTTATAAAAGACATTTGTATGGTTAGTGAAAAATATAAGAAAGTTTTTTTTTTTTTTTTTTTTGAGACGGAGTCTCGCTCTGTCGACCAGGCTGGAGTGCAGTGGCGCAATCTCGGCTCACTGCAAGCTCCGCCTCCCGGGTTCACGCCATTCTCCTACCTCAGCCTCCCCAGTAGCTGGGACTACAGGCGCCCGCCACTGCGCCCGGCTAATTTTTTCTATTTTTAGTAGAGACGGGGTTTCACCATGATCTCGATCTCCTGACCTTGTGATCCGCCCGCCTCGGCCTCCCAAAGTGCTGGGATTACAGTTGAGTAGGTAATATTTTTATAAAGACATTTGTATGGTTCGAAGATAAGAAAATATATGAAAGGTGTTCAAGAAGAGTTTTGGCCCCAATTCTGTCTACTGTATACCCAGTCCTCCCCACTTCTACATACATATTTCAGATAGGTATTTCTCGAAAGAAAGAACTTATGCTGTGAAACTTATATGTCAACTTAGGTCTCATTTTAAGTGATTCTGTAAAATGGCTGGGAGATACTGGTGAAATTCTAGAATGGAAATAACTTTGTAAGATTTTGAGCTGAGTACTTGTAAATAGTAGAAATGGACTTACTAATAAATAAAGGAATTTTATTTTATAACTTTTTTCTGATTACATAGTAATGTATGTTCATTATGAAATATTTGGGAAATACAAAAACACACAAAGAAAAAAGGATATTTATTTATAATTCCATTTTGCTATGTATTTTCCCATTATTCACTCTGCGTTTGTCCCAGGTTTTCCCCACGCTGTTTCAATGTGTGTATCCTCCATGTCCCCCCAATCATGCATCCAGTAAACTCCGTCATTACTACCATCTGTACTTTCACTCACAGTTCAATTCCAAGCATGTCCCTCTCTGACATCCACCTCACATCATTCCATCTTGCTTCTTCTGGGACCTTCCCTTCAAGGATCTTCAGTGCCACCGGGCCTTCCAGTTAGGTTGATTGACTCTATCTATCGTCTTCCCAATATCAGCACCACCCCCCACTCACTCTTCACGCAGCTTAGAGTCCACAGGTCTTTGTTAAAGTCTCCTGTACGCACCAGCACCCTTGCCTTTCCCTCAGTTCCACTGAGGTGGCAGAATCCCAACTCTGGCTAATCGCATAAATCCGTGTCCTCCAAATTTGTACTGGAATTCCAGGATGTGGCTGGGGTAAAAACCTTCCGTGTTGCAGACAGGTCTTGTTTCAAACCAATGACCACAAACCTCCAATGAGCTTTCAGGAGTTTCGGCAATGCTGTGACATTTCCCTGGTTATATCACCCTTTTGCACTCTCGGTCTGTTTTACTGATCATAGAATTCTCTGTGATCTCAACCTAAAGGGTTAGAGGTATTTCCTGAGAAGCCCCACCTTTTCCCTTGATAACCCACTATGGGAACTGTCATTTGTGAATTTAAGAAGAAACACTTGCTTCTTGACTTTTAAAACACCAAAAACAACATTAAAAAATTGAAGGATGAGGCTGGGGTGCGGTGGCTCATGCCTGTAATCCCAGCACTTTGGGAGGCTGAGGCGGGCGGATCACTTGAGGTCAGGAGTTCAAGACTAGCCTGGTCAACTTGGTGAAACCTGTCTCTACTAAAAAAAATTAGCTGGGCATGGTGGCACGCACCTGTCATCTTAGCTACACGGGAGGCTGGGGCATGAGAATTACTTGACTCTGGGAGGTGGAGGTTGCAGTGAGCCAAGATCATGCCACTGCACTCCAGCCTGGGTGACAGAGCGAGACTTTGTCTCAAAACAAAAACAAAAACAAAACCTGAGGGATGAGCCACAAACTGGGAAATGATATCTGCCATGTTGTATAACTGATAAAGGAGATGTGCATACGTATACTATATATATAATCTTCTACCAATCCATAACATATTAAACAATCCAATCTAGATGGGTAAACATATAAACTAGTTCAAAGATGAGCAAAAAATATGAACCAGTAATTAAAAGGAAATACCAATGAGCAATAAACATCTGAAAACATAACCATTCTCTTTGGTCATCAGAGAATTTGAAAAATACAGCCACAGTGAGATAGCATTTTATGTCCATCATATTATCAATATTTAAAACTCTGTCAGTACTAAGTATGGGTGAAGATACGGAGTGAAGGGCACTCTGTTACATAGATCTAGGAAATGTAAATTGACACAATCATTTTAGAGAGCAATTTGCAATATTTATAAATGTTGGAAATTTGCACACAGTAAAATCTAGCAAATCTATTTTTGGATCTATGTCCCAAAATAAACTTAAAAACACTGTTTTGTAGAGACAGGGTCTTGTTACATTGTGCAGGAAGGTCTTGAACTGGCCTCAAGCAATCTTCCTGTCTCAGCCTCCCAAAGTATTGAAATTATAGGCGTGAGCCACCACGCCTGGCCCCAAAAGAAATTTTGCACATGTATTAGGAGATAAGGAGGAGTGTTAGTTTTCTGAGCAACACTGTAAGAGCACAAAGAAATAAAATAAAAAGAAGCAACACATACAATCTATAGATTCATCAGGAGCATAGATAAATTGTGGGTATAGTTGTATAAAGGAATACTATCAAGTAGTGAAACAAAATTAGCTAGAATTATTAGGTTGAACTGTATGAAATTGCCATTCTTATAGATCAGAAACAACCAAATATTGGCATTTCATACAGTTTAAATATATGTATCAGTAACATAATGATGAGCAAATAATATATATAATATGATGATTTATAGAATGTTAAAACACACATAAGAGTCTTTTATGTTGCTTATAAATTCATATGTATATTGTACAAATATACAGATGCATGGGGGTGATGAGGAGTTAGAGTAGTAGTTATCTGGGATGGGCTTGGGGCTTGGGGAGAGAGGGAGGAACATGCCAATGGGGAGGAATTACAGGGGCTTCAAATGCATCAGTCATGTTTTATATCTTCAACTGAGTGCTGGATGTGGGGGCTATTCTCTTTTTTCTTTAATCCTTTTTGCATCTCAGTGCTGATTAATGGAATTTAGCCACCAGATTGGGTGATTTTTTGGCTTGTTAAATACTTGGCCAGGTTTGCAGGGAAGGTTTGCCCTCTTGGGCAGAGTATGTTTTTCCAATCTAGTACCCGTCTGTGTTTTTGGTGGTGATTTCTGTGGCTATAATTAATATAATCAGTGTGGCCAAAGCAAGGATAAGGGGTATTGACTCACTTTTTATTGCCCTGAGCCATCCCTGTTGCAAAATAATGATCTGGATATATTCTCCAGAACAGGAAGCAAACTGCAGATGGGAAACATGGGAAACTCCCTTAAGACACTTCTTTTTTTTTTTTTTGAGACGGAGTCTGGCTCTGTTGCCCAGGCTGGAGTGCAGTGGCACGATCTCAGCTCACTGCAAGCTCTGCCTTCCGGGTTCACGCCATTCTCCTGCCTCAGCCTCCCAAGTAGCTGGGACTACAGGCACCGGCCACTATGCCAGGCTAATTTTTTTTTTTTTTTTTTTGTATTTTTAGTAGAGACAGAGTTTCACCGAATTAGCCAGGATGGTCTCTATCTCCTCACCTCGTGATCCGCCCGCCTTGGCCTCCCAAAGTGTCGGGATTACAGGCTTGAGTCACTGTGCCCGGCCCCTAAACCGGTTTCTAACAAATCAGTGTAAGTCAAGGGGTTCATCTACAGAGTCAGTCATCTTCACCATGACACCCACAACGTACACATTGCTGCTGGCATTCCTCCACTCAGAATGTACAATTAGACGCTCAGCACTCTATTGGATCAGGCTGCTATTTCACCATTTGAAGAACCTTCAAAAAGATCTTTAGAGGCAGGGCATGGTGGCTCACACCTGTAATCCCAGCACTTTGGAAGGCTGAGGCAGGCAGATTACTTGAGGCCAGGAGTATGAGACCAGTCTGGCCAACATGGTGGAACCCTGTCTCTACTAAAAATACAAAAATTAGCCAGGTGTGGTGATGTACACCTGTAGTCCTAGCCACTTGGGAGGCTGAGGCACAAGAATTGCTTGAACCTGAGAGGTGGAGGTTGCAGTGAGCCGAGGTTGTGCCAGTGACACTACACTCCAATCTGGGTGACATGGCGAGACTCCCTCTAAAAAAAAAAATCCTTAGAAACTTCAGAAGGATCCTTCCACTAGGGCAGAAGGGATCAGAGGGTAAGAATCTTCACCCCTACCACTCATGCTTTTCTGAAGGCTCAGTCTGGCCACACTGCAAGGGGACAGTGAGCCAGTTTTGGCCTGGGGCTTCTTGCTGCTGCCAAATTAACAACTCCAGCCCTTGGGTTTAGCCACCTGCTGCTGCTAAAAATGATGATGAGAGTGACGGAGAGGTGTTTTAGTTCCCATTTTAGAGATCAGAAAATCAAGGCCCAGAGAAGCTAAGTAGCCTTGGAGATACGAGCTACAGTCTCTCCACTTGAGTTACCATCTTGAAACATCAAGGATAAGTCAACTTTATCAACAGTTTCAGGCCTGTGAGAAATGGGCTTGGTTTATCTTGAAGATTGTAAACAAATAAAAAAATAGACTACTCCATTACTGATGAGAAATGTGAGTCATTCTGCCAGGAATTGAAAGTACAGCTGCCCATAAAAAAGTTATGCCGGTGTCCAGACTCTTCAGGTCCCTGCGTGTGACAAACCACTCAATCAGAGTTCCTCTTTTATTTCTCTTTGTGCTCAGTAGGATGTTGAAATTTCTGGAAAAGACAATGGAAATCAGGGGCAGGAAGAGAACAGTGTGGGGTACTAAACAGACTCAGATCTCAGCAACCTTCCTGCCCACTGCCATCTCTGCACAGACACCTCGACCCCCACGCACAGGTGGAGCAGCATTTCCTAGTTCTTTCCAGAGGCTTCCTTCTGCCTGCCCTCCAGCCACATTGCCTGAGATTGACAACGCCCTACAGCAAGACGGAAACTTCCCTTTACAGCACCACCTTGTGATTCTGGAGCAACAAAGTTGAGACTTCTGAATGTAGTACTCTTCTGCTCCCCTACTGTTTCACGTATACCTGTGTCATCTTTCTTGTTTCATTGTAAACATACTTATAAAATTCCCATTTTCTTTATTTAGAAATAGAACTACAACTAGATGGTTAAACAATTTAAACAGTACAAAACGGTCCATGGGGAAAAGTGAATTTCACACTGTCCCCCAAACCTTCAGTTCCTTTTATGGAGATAATTATTGTTTCTAATGTTTTGAATATTCTTTCAGAGATATTTTATTCTTATATAAGCATACGTGTATGTGTGTCCTTCCCTCATTTTCCCCCCACGAATACTAGCAGACTGTTTTGCACCTTGGTTAGCTCATTTAACATATCTTGGAGACTGTTCTGTATCAGAACATATAGAGCTGCTTGATCCTTTTCATGACTGCTACAGCGCCATTGAATGTATGGATCATCAGTGCTCTAACTAGCGCCTTAGTGATGGGCATTTAGGGATCACAAACTTCATAAGGGCAGAAACAATATCTTACCCATTCTCTGTTTCTGATATGGTTTGGATGTGTGGTGCTGCCCAAATCACATGTCAAGGTAATCCTCAGTGTCAGAGGTGGAGCCTGGTGGAGGTGATTGGATCATGGGGATGGATCCTTC